AAGAAGAATATATGCAGCGTATTATTTGTTGAAAGTGTACTTCCGATTTGATTTGAAACTGTCTCATTGCTATCTGTTTATCAATAAAAGTTTGAAAATAAAAACATCTGGTGGTAGATATAAGATGCACGATAGATGTTTAAAAGTCTTGATGTCTATTTATTTATAATTAAGAGGAATAATTTAAATGGTAATGTCTTTACAAAATTTAAAAGGTAGCAAAATGTTGTCATATAGAAGAAACATAGAAATAAATATTTTAATTGTTTAAATGATGTTTAAATTACTTTTAACATTGTCTTCAAAATAATGTAGGATTCAGTAAATGATGTGAAGAAGTACTCAGTTGGCATTGGGCCAGCTCGGTTTCAGCTACAGTACATGGGCCATTATTTGATAAGAGAGGAAAGAAAAGATCCAGATGCAAGGGTGGAGGATTTTATCCCCGATACTTGGCAGGTAACAATGTAAATGCAAATGAAAAATCTGTGTCTTTATATGAGTACAGGAATTCCTCAGTATTACAACTGTATATATATCTGGCACAGACTTTTTAAATGTTGAGTTATGGTATGTAAAAATAGTTACATAAAATACTCAATGACTTTTTCTCACTTCAAAAAGTAGACTTTTCACATATACCATTTAGCTGGAAGAGATCAATTTACTATATACATTTGAAGATTAAAGACATTTATGTTATCCAGCTGTATTACTTTGAAGCCCCCTTCCAATTTTCTCCATGTCAGTAGGATTTCATACATAAGTATGTAAACCGACACGGAGAAAATTGGGTAATTAACACAGATGAAGTAATTGTTTAGATATTTATACATTACAACTACTGTTCTTCTATACATATATATAAAATGCTTATGAAAGTTTATAAATTGGGAGGAGATATATTGATTTTTTTTTTTTTTTTTGCGGAACCAGGGATTGAACCCAGGCCCTTGTGCTTGCCAGGGAAGCACTTATTCCACTGAGACATCTCCCTGGCCCTGATAGATTGAATTTTTCGTGTACTGAGCATATACAATTGGTAGTACATTGAATATATTTGCTTACAAAGTTGCACTTTTATGTGCTCAGTCTAGTAGATTATTAGAAGCAGACTATATCCAGGTTAGCATTACTGTAATGAAATATATGAGGGAGTCTAACTTTACAAAGAAGTTTATTCACATTACAGTTCTGGAGAGTCAATGTTTGAGATCAGGTGGTCTCATTAGTTTGGCCCCCAAGGGGGCTTAACAACAGAACAGTATGACATCATGGTGGGAATGCATGTGAAGAAAACATCATAGCTTCAACCAAACAAGTAGTGAGAGTGAGGGGAGGCTGGCTCAGGCCTTTTACGTCTATCCCAGCTTGAGAACTACCCATAATCCCACAGGAACCATCTTCTCTAGGGTACTCTGAGAGCCCTTGAGCAGTGCCTGTTAGTAAAGATTCCCAAAGCTCTTAATGCTGTAAGCTGGGGACAAAGCTTCTAACACAAGGACTGTTTGCAGGACCCGAAAGCATAATGCAAGCCACAGGATGGACTTCACCTTCCTTTCATTGATGAATCATGAGCCACTGTAAAAAATTTTTTTTTTTATGGCAGGCTCAACCTACCCTGGAGGCAGGGCTGGTGCAGAAGGTGGTGCAGGGGATCAGAACATAGTCCCTGCACTTGCCCAAACTTGCTTAAACAGGTGCTTCAGCCTGCTGATATATCTTGCCAGCCATGTAAAACCTTTATGCTGCCTTTCCATCAGTAGGAGGATTAATTTCTTATTTCAGTGCAGACTATAAGCCTGGCAAATGTTCTCCATTAACTGTATGCACACTGTAACTCTCTAATGCCCACTTTACTATGCAGTGTGATTGGGAGTAAACCTAGACTTCACAGGAGTGTATGCTGGGACTAGAAGGTAGTTTCCCATCTTCCATACTTCATAGGTTTCTAATTCTTTTGACTAGTCATCATATTGATGAATAAAAACATAGATTGTGGAGGGGAAGCTCCTACTTGACCTCCAGACTAGGCACCTGGTATTCTATATGGGAAGTAGAAAATGGATAAGACACTTAAAATTTTGATATTTTTCCTACCTGGTCTTTTTTTTTCCAATAAAAATGATATATTTGTTACTTCTGAGAATGTTCTTTCTCAAAGCCATTCTGCATTTACTAAATGACAAACAACTATGAAGAAATCTTCCCAGTAATAAGATGTTTGGTTCAGACTTCCACTTTTCAGGAGTAAAACTCAACTTTCAGATACTCAAAGGCAAAAAAATTGTATCCTCAGAGAGAATTATGTGTGGTCTTCAGATATCTAAAGTTTTTTTTTTCTGTGTAATTGAATCTTTCAAGTATTCCATGTGCTATGTAGAAAATCACACTGGAAATGTCTGGTTCGCTAACACATTGTTTATGCTATTGAAACAAATTGTATTCTGAACCCTGCAGCGAGAACTCCTTGATGTGGTGGATAACTATGAGTCAGCAGTGATTGTTGCCCCAACATCCTCAGGCAAAACCTATGCTTCCTACTATTGCATGGAGAAAGTGCTGAAGGAGAGCGATGAAGGGGTGGTTGTGTATGTTGCACCAACGAAGGTAGTGCTGTAGTTCATGTCATTTGCTGTCTTATTACTGAACCTCCTTTTAAGAACTTTGTATGGGATCTTCACATAATAAGTCTATTTCATTTTCTTAGTACAGAGTCTCACTATGCATCTTTGACTTGTAGTGAGCCTCCTGCTGTACAGCCTCCCAAGAGCTGGGATTACAGGTGTGCACCACCATGCCCAGTCTCCATGGCATGTCTGGGGTGGGGCTGGCATGGCATGTGATGTGGGGGATTGAACCCTGGTCCCTTAGCTTGCCTAAGCAGGTGCTTAGTTTGCTGGGCTATCTTGCCGGCCCTAGTTCACTTTATTTCTTAACTTGCAATTGTTTGTTCCAGTTTTAGAGTCTAAGATATCACCTTCCTTTGAACCATTTAAAAAATAATCTAGTCTTGCAATCTTGGGTTTGAGCCTGATGCTTGAACTGAGAGGAGCACTCACAATTTCTTTGGCAGTGCAGATTACTAAGGCTGTGATACTGCTTCTGCAGGGCTTCCTGGAATACATCTGACCTGCTATTAGGCATTGGGCACCAGCAATTTCTCAAGCCAGCTTACTTTAGCGCATTTGCTTTCTGTTTAGTTTTTCTTTATATATTAATTTTATTGAGAAAGAAGTAGCAATGTGATAGTTTCAAAACAGGTCAGTAGGACAGTTACAATAATTAATACATTGCATATTGTTGTCTTTCTAGCAGTAATTCATAGTACAAGATTTAGACATGATATCTTGTCTAAACACTATCAATTCAAAACTTCCTTCTAATTGAACTGAGAGCAAGTGGCTGTATATCTATGTATATATATATATATATATATATATATATATATATATATTTATATATATATATATGTATTTCACTACAAAATGGTCCTTCATTTATATCCCCATTTTTTTGATTAGTTTTGTTTAGTTCTGCCTAGTTTAAATTCAAAAACAAACAAACAAACCACCCCAAACCAAAAACAAAACCAGAATGATTTTTGTCTTGTAGGAGGAAGTGTGATTTGTGGGAAGTAAAAGCCTGCATCTCCTCATTCACAAGTTTGTATTTGATGTGGTTCCTCTGTAGAAATTTGGCTGGAGGGATTCTACATCTAATTCATGTGACTTCCACCTAAAATGGACTAGACTTTTAGTTTTTTTGGAAATGTGTAGTGTTGCATGATTCACGAGGAGCTTGAAAAACAAATTGACATGCGTGATTAGTTGAAATGAATATTTTATTTTTGTTGTAGGTTTGTGTTTTTCACAATTACAGAAGCCCCAAATTACCATTTCCAGAAGTTTAGAAACTATATAAAAATAAGATCATTAAAAATGGAATTAGTAAGTTGAACACAGAAAATATTGGGAGTTTACTCTCCTATAAGTTTAAGTCTACTTCAATTCTCTGCAAGTATAGAATAATGTACATTCTCTTCACTTTTCCAAAACTTGGATTGACATTTAATAAATTTTGTGCATACATAAGTGAAAATTACCTTTCCATGTTTAGATTAACATTTTGGTGATTAGCGATTTAAAGGGTGCACTTTAATGATGATATTTGAATAATGAATATATTTATAAAGTACTTATGGATGCATCTACTGTTTCTTTTGGAAGGGGTTGGATATTATTACTAAGTCAAAAACTTTGTGTAACAAACATGTTAAATTTTTTGACCTAAAGGATAGTGAAATATTCTTTCATTTGTCATTTTTTTCATTTAATTTATTCTGGTTATTTTAATGACAATAATAAAATCTTGACATAGTCAGAATGATCAATATTTTCATTTGGGATTTTTGTGTGTGTGCTTAAATACATGAAAATATCACCTCCTAATATGTTTATGGTTGAATTATGAAATTTTACATCTTCATCCAGATGGATTTTCAACTTTTTGGCATCAACTGTGGGAGGTATTTGTAGGTATACAAAATCCACTGAGCAAGTAATTAGCTTGATCCTGAGTGGAGTTCCACTCATTCATGTATATACTCAACTTCAGGCATCTAAGATACATCTCTAAACAAGAACGACACAAGTCTACCCTGGGTACCCCTCACTTGAACTTCATTCTGTGATACAATCCATTTTTCTCTAAGTGTTGGCCATCCAAATATTACGTTATTCATATGTTCTATTTTTTTCCATGCAGATAACATTTTAAAATTTTCTGTCAAGTAAAAATGTTTCCACTTTTTTACTTCAAGTTTATGAATGAGGCTTATAATCTTCATTTAGTAACTCAGAGGGATTGTTTATTTTATACTACTTAAAAATATGGGTGGAATAAAAGGCTACTAAGCTTTCTGTACATCTAGCAGGACATACTCTTGGACAATTACTATTGTCCCTTGACATTTCCCTTATTTCATTATGTGGCTAATTATCTGTTTCCTTGTTAATCAGGCCCTCGTCAATCAAGTGGCAGCAACTGTTCAGAATCGTTATAGCAAAAATCTGCCAGACGGCCAAGCTCTATGTGGTGTTTTTACAAGAGAGTATCGTCATGATGCGCTCAATTGTCAGGTAGGGTGTGTGTCCATTAACAAACTCGATATGAAGTTATGTGACGGTGCTGATACATCTCTGATTAGCAGTCCCAGATCTCCATAAGTCTTTATGAAAATAATTTTCATTAATTTATGAAAGGCAAAAAGGCTTTAGAGAAAATGTAATTTTGTTATACTCTGAAGAGTAAGAAACAGAATGTATCTTTTTCTAAGGACCCTTATATTTTGATTTCACATTTTAGGTACAGTTCATTATGCTATCATGGTTTATAAATGGATTAAAACTGGTTGTAAGAATACTACAAATTATAAAAATTACCCGAAATTTTGAACCTTAATTATGTTTTCTGCAAAGTACTTTTGAAGAACACTAGAAAATATGTATTAAGAAATTGGAGCTTTGTTAATTATACCATAGATAGATTTCCTCCTTATTAAACTTGCAGATCAATAATACAGAATAAAGAAAAAGTGAATGCATGATCAGAGGACACTATGTAGCAGACATGGAGAGGTACTACTCAGATTGCCTTTCATGGAAGGACTTGCTGTCCGGATGTGAGGATTGTGATGGGGACAAAAGCCAGCTATCTCTGGATCTGCTCATATTGTCCATATCCTATAACTGAGCTCTGCATGTGTGCAGAAGTGGCTTGATGTAGAAAGCCAGATAGACAATATTCACCCAGAACTTCTGGGTACACTGGCAGATGCTTTTCCATCTGTAATTTGGCCTAGTTCTCTGCCCAGTACTGGTTTCCTTGTTGATTGTCAGTCAACATAATCCAACACAAATCCTGTGGCAGGGTTAGATTTCAAAAATTCAAACCCATGACAATGAACATTTTCTATTTTCTAATGCTGAAGCCTTATTAAAGAGAGTAACAGATGAGATGGAGGTGATTAGAGTATGTCATTTGCATGTTTGCAAATGTCACAAAACATTAATTTGCACACTCTTAAATTAAAACTTCAATTTTGACACTTTACCACTTTTGAGCTACAAAAATGAAATTTCATGTTTTGGACTAATACATCGTAAGTTTCATGAAATAAATACTCAGCAATAACATTACATCCTAGTTATCAGCAGCTACATATGTGACCCATCACACTATCATACTTAGTTTTATGACAATGTGTACCTACTAATATATTAGTTAATAAAGTATTATCATTTTTAGGTACTTGTTACAGTGCCTGCCTGTTTTGAAATTCTGATGTTAGCTCCACATCGCCAACAATGGGTGAAAAGGATTAGATACGTTATATTTGATGAGGTAGGTTTTGTTTTACTTCTTCAGGTTAATTTTCTAGATTATATAAACACCATAACAAAGATCTTTGATACGTCTCCAATCTGTTTACTGGAATTTAGATCAGGGCAGAGAGTGTTTCTTTTTTCTGCTAAATTCCCCCAGTGAATCATAACCAGTCTTCTGCCTCCCTTTCCTTGTGTGACTCTGTAGGGAATATTAGTGCAACTTTTCAACTCTGTGTGCAAGAGGAAACTTTCACTGGAGAAACCTGTTGGACAAAAAGCAGAATTCAAATGCCATGACATGATCTTTCCTACAAAAATATTTCAAAATCAGATCTTTGATTTTTTTAAGCAGAAAATTTGAATTCTACCAGTACTGTCAGCTACATATTACAATATTGTCATAAAAGAAAATATATGGCACACACAAGCCACAATTCAAGGAGGTTAATTTTCCAAAGTATGTATGAGGATGCCCACGAGGGTTAGTGAAGGGATACAGAGGTAGTGCCTTGCTCCACTGCATAAAGAGACAAGGTAAGGAAGTATTTATTTAAGGGCTTCACATTGGATTATAAAAACCCACCCCATAATTTTCTACTATAAATCTGTACTTTGGCAAAATAGTAGCTGGTTGTGCTTCTGCCTGGTAGGTATACCTGGAGGATACAAAAAGCAATCTTGTGTTTGCCTACTTAGTACCATAAACAACAAGGTACGTGCATATGTGTAAAAGTATCAAACTGGGAAACTTACCTACATAATGCTCCATTTAAACATTTTTGCATATGTCTTCCTGAGCTTCACAGCAGATAAAATACATCTACACCATTCATCTGTTAGGTAAACATGCACTGTTCCACAGTGGAATGCAGGTGTGGCTCACAGTAGCTGGGCCCTGGGGGGCAGGAACCCACCTGTGCATTCACCCAGTTGGCAGATGAATGGTGAGGTGTGTGCAACACCTCCAAAGCAGCATCAGGTGTAGATTTAGGATTTGACATTTGCCACATGAGCCAGTTTTACTGTGACAGTGAAATGGAGTGTACATACTTAACAGATTGAAATGGTACAAAATGCTAATGCGACCAAATGGAATGATCCAGTGTTAGAACTACATCTGAAAATATGGTGATAATTTTGGCAGGGGTAAAACCTATTGGATGAAATGCTAGCACTGCCATTCAATGTTGGAAATTGTTGGCAACAGATGAAATGCCACACAAATGTGCAAAATACACAAATGATGAAATACAAGTAAAATGCTCTGTATGGACCAATAGCCATACTTTAAAAATGTACTTATTACGACACTTCACTAGCTGAACTGAAAGATTCATGGGTCTGCTGTATATAACAAGTCTTTCTCATGGTAACTGGAGGAATGTAATAGATTTATACATGTGGGCTTGAGCTTTGTAAAATAATGATGACACTGAGATTTGGCTTCCTTCAAAATCACCTGAGGTTTGTTGACATAACATCTGTTAGGAAAGAGAACTGATAATTTGGCTATTATCCGTTCATTGTTTGAGAGTCTTGTTTTAAGAGATGAAGCAATCTGAATACATGACTATTTATGAACACTTTGCAGCCTTTTATGATTTCTGTAGCTTTAGGCAGTAGATTCCAAACAAAACACAAAAATCCCTTCAAAGTATTTTCCAAATGTACAGTTGGAATTTTTAAACAGAGAATTGTATAGTACAATCTTTGGGCTTCAGAAAGATACAACTTTGGCTTCATATATGGCAAAGAAAAACAAACTGGTACTGCTGATGTCAACACTGCACTGCACCATGATGGAACTATTGATAAGCAAAGCTTGACAAAACAGAAGCCTAAGACAGTAGCTTTCTAAAACAAAACTAAAGTCAGAGCAGATGTTGCTGATGAGTTATGCAGAAACTATGATGTCACTCAAAACACAAAGCATTGGCCAGTGTTGTGTTTTTTCTGATTCTAAATATGTGCTGCATAGTTTGATGGTTTACAAAGATAATAACAAGAGAAGAATACCATAGAGAAATTTTCTTAGAAGATTGGGACTAGAACTCACAAGGGATAATTTACATCAGAAGAAAAACATCATTCTGTGCCAAGAATTTTGCAAAAAATGTGTCAATAACATCAGAGAGTTGACAGGTGAATAGGCAGGCACAGCATAACAAAGACCTACTATGACAACAGGAAAATAAAAAAGAAGTCAATTGTGCCTTATAAAAAAGGACAGAAAAGCAAAACAAATGTGCCATTGGTGTAAATGACAGTTGTGCATGGAACATACAGCTTGCATGTGTGAAGATTGGCATGGGTGTGAAAATTGAAGCAAAGATTATTGCTGTGGTAGGCTTTTATTTGTATTTAAATTCTAGTTAACACAGGTTTTTATTTTTGATGTTATCCTTTAAGTTTTACAGGCAAGTACATAGCTGATGTGAAAATGTTAATGTGTATTTTAAACACTAACTACATACTTGCTATTTTATTTTACGGATCTTATTTTCTTGTGAAGTACATGTTATACAATATAGTAGTAAATTCCTGACAAAAGTGGAAGACAAGAGAGGTGACAGCAATGGCCCGCCACCGAGGAAAGTAAAATATACATCAAGTGGGTCCTACACAAAGGTCACGAAAGCAAAATACATGCACAGTCAGCATGTGTGACATGTGTATGGAATGTGCTGTTGTCATTTGGAAAGACAGCCTTGGGCTTGATCATTGAAGTAAAGTTTTTTTTTTTTTTTTTGTATTTGTGTGTTAGAATTCTATTGGCATTTTCAGTGTAGTTCATATGAACTATAGGAACTTATTTCTGTTGCTCATTTTTAGACTTTGTACACCAAAAACCATCAATGGTGAAAATTTTAATGCTTTTTATATAAACACTGAATAAATGTTAAAAATTCAGTACTATATTTTAAATGTTTACTGTGGTCACTGTTTAGTATAATAAAACAGAAGAATTAATAATTCTTCAATAAAAATTTTCTGAGAATAAATGTGGGTATTATACACCAACTACAGTGAGCCTTTGACACAAAATTGGCATTATGCCCCATGGGGTTTTCTTAAACTCAAAAGGATGTTCACATGTAGTTGGCTGCATTATGAGGAGTAGTTTATTTCAGGAACATAGCTCATTCAAGAGCAACACTGGAAGAACCGAACTGGTGGAGCAATGACCTTGCCCTTGTTCTCCCTTGCTTTGATACCTTGCTCAGGCTTTCCCTTGACTGAGTCCAGTAAAACCAGTAAACGTAACATCCTCCTGAGGCAGTACATGCAGGTCAATTTCCCTAGGGCAGTGGGATGAAAACAGTACAGAATGGTAGGATCATATGAAGATATTTAGAAAAGTTGTTTCGAAACATCACTAAAAATATTTATTCAAGGAGTTTTAAAACACTTTGAAAAGATATACCCTTTTGTTCTACGGAGTTTTCAATTTGAAAGGGAAAACCATAGCAAGTCCATATTTAACTTACCTTTTACCTGTTATAAACTTAAAATTACCAAATATAATGTGTCTCTATTAGTTTGGCAGTAATTTAGGTTATTTATTTTTGGTTTATTTGTATACATTGCATGCTCCTTAAACAAAATTCAACAAATTTGTCTATGCAATTTAGAACCTTGAACTGTAGTCTAATGTCAATCCTCTGAAGTGATATAGCACCTGAAAGTTTCCCAATCTTATGTAAGGGTATAGCTGAGTGGCACTGTTGGCTGTTCTGACAGAGCAGGGGAAAAGTTTTATATATATACTTAAGATATATATATA